TTATATCACCAAACTATAGTTTATGGACGATAATTAAAATTGTTGAAAACTATGACCTGATGTTTCAGAATCGCGTGTTACTGACATCATTGGGAATCAAACTTAAGACTTTTATTTTTTCGCTATCGAAAACTGGGTTGAAATATAATCCTTCACCTTTACGAATTCTTTCAGTGAAATTGAATACTGATGATCTGAAATGTCAAACTATCAACTCCCCATCTCAGGGTTGTTATTTTAGATGGAAAACATGCAAAGTTTTTATGAAAGGTATGCCTGGTTCAGTAACTTACCTTTTAGTCGGTAGGAAATATGAATATTTTCATTTGGGGGTAGTGATGAGTCGCTTTAAAATGACTGTTTAGTCAATGAGCTTTGTAGCATGTCACGATAATTTATAAACTATTAAAAACCTATTTAAAATTTTAAACTTAGTCTATTTAACTGTCTACGTGTTGCTTGGTAATTTATACATTTAACATGAGTTTTAGTTTCGAATATCCCGCCGTTTATTTTGTTGGGAACACTTCAACTGATCCTTGACAATGTTATAAATGTCACGCTCTTCTTTAATGCTGATTGAATTCTACCAATCATTTGTAAATGCATCTCGTTCCTGAGAGAGTCAGTTACAGCCAAAATAATTCAAAGGAAACATCCTCGGCCTTGGAACTGAACGACACAGAATCTGTCTGCCGGGAAACGAATTCTCTCAGAATCATAAGTAAACCTGGCTGATGAGTAACAAATATCACGAAACTTAAGTCCATGAATTTCTGTCGACGATTTTACAATTTTATATTTGGCAACCAGTTTTATGAAGTCATTTATCTACAAAATCAAAATCTCCGTATCATATAAAAAAATGACTCAAGATACTCTCCATTAGTTTAAAAAATACAGAAAGTAGACACGAATATATGCATAACTAGAGTAGCGGGGAAGCTAATTTAGATAAAATAATTATCCAACCAGTATTTTAAATGATAAATCAAAATTGAAGATTGTTTCAACTGAACAAAACACTGATAAAACTCGACTTAAGGAAAAAGTCAAGATTGCACACGAGGATTTACTTCAGAATCAACAATAATGGACCAGTTACTGATGAGAATTCTGTCTAAATATGCTGGATTACGTATAACTTCCATATCTGGTTAACAGTGAAGGCTAAGTACATTGAACTGGTCAGTACTTGATGTAAACTAATCAATAACTTGAAATTGCATACAATTCAGCAGTGTTTACAGATTAAACTGCCTTGACTAAAGAATATTAATTAATTACTGACTGATAAATTCGCTCATACCTAACGCAGATAAATTGAAATTTGAAATTTTTTTCATTTTTGATGCTATTTTTGATTGATGGAGTAACCACTGTTGCTGATCGATTTGATATCTTATCTATTTATATCCACCACAAGAAACTTTCGTGTAGGGTGATATTTGATATATACATAAATACGTATATAAATATATATATATATATATATATATATATATATATATATCAGAAAACAAACAAAATGCAGATTATTTACAAGCTGATCGATCCTTTAGATACCAGTTGTCCGATTAACTTGTTCCAGCCAGACAAAACAACTGAACAGATTCAACAGATATTTTACAGATAAATATTTTGCATCACAGGAAAATCGTTGACATTAGTAATGAAACGTTAGTCTTCATTGATTTGCTAGTTTTGTTGTATTGAAATGTATGGGTAAGTTTTTCACATATTCTTGTTCAGTATGTGTTTTAAATTTATTGGAATTCAAATAAGATTTCAGGTTTTTTCTGGTAGCTGATTTTTTATTTAGATTTATTTTGAATGAGATCGACTTATAAACACTAGCTTCCTCCAAACATCCTTGTTTACTCGAGCTCAGTACCAGCAATACCTCAGAAATGTTCCTGGTTAGGGTTTGATTTCTCAATAAATATTACTGTTTTCAATCCACGGTAAAATTCAGATTACAAAATCAATTATAATCAATAGTAATCTACTTACAATACACTTATATTAACTATTTATGATAGTTTGTTATATTTTCAGAATGAAAAAATCGTAGGATCCAAATCGAGGTTTGGACTGAGGAATGACTGTCTAGGTAGTTTAGATACGCGCCTTGCTCAGTTGAAACCGAAACAAGTGATTTGGGTAAATGACAGTTCTACTACTTATCATAAATGTAAATTTACATCATTACCTAAACAAATATTACCACTCAGTTATTCCACCAACCATTGTTCAATTATTCAAATAACTGATATTCTGTCCCTCTTGGATACATCAAATTCGTTCGACAGATAACATTTAGTTGCTTTATAACATAAAGGGTTTTCGATTCTGTGAGAGTGCTTCAATTCACAATCAAAATGCACAATTACAGTCAATGCAAGCGACACACTCAAAAGAAGAACAAAACAATATGGCTATCGCCATGACTAAGGATCAGCTTAAACATCATAAATGCAGTTCAGAAAAAACATAGAAAGTCAGTGAAGGCAAAAGAAATAGAAACCCTAATAAAATACAAATATTATCATCTCAAACGGAATCGAACAGACTAACAAAATGTACAACTGAAGGAATCAATAAGGACAAATTATAAGTGTATATATGGAGGGATTTTTACAAACAAAGCCTTCAGAAATAGATCTTACATAAAATACTATTAATACTGGCTTATATTGAAGCACATGAAGCTGACAAACTGTATACATTTTGTGTTCATTCAATACACAAGTAATGGGCAAAAAGATCATTAAACTAACCGTATACCGCATTAAGAAAGAATATCTTATACAATAAGACATAAAATCATGTTCGTCCAACTTGTTCACTGAAGTTTAAACTAACACACAATTCAATGTTTTTCCAATGGATAAAGGCTAATTTTGGATTAGTTCTTAAAAGTGCACAAATAATAATATTGTTTTCTAAATGACTGTTCGTCATATTTTGTAGGTCTCTATAGTTTTTGTTTTGCATGAAAGATGAGCTGAAAGTTAATTAAAACAGGTAAATTTCTTCATGGCTATTTAGGCTGAACAATGCCTATAACTGAATAGCAGTTTCAAGGTAAGTCGTTCAAGATACATGGATATCGAATGAGATTGTTCGATTTCAGGTGTTATCATGAAGAATCAAACTTTGACAAATGAAAAATAGAATTTTATTTTGTGAAACTATCCAGTGAATTCTATTAGAACAGAGTAAACATCTATATTTTGATTAGGGAAATAATATGATTAGTTTGTATAGATTATCTTACAACAATTGAGACATACATAATTGCCGACTATTCTCAAAAAAAATTATTGGTCTAAGAAATAAAATTAATTAATTATAAAATTAACAGTCTAACTATCTAAAGAATGCGCATAATAGAATCCTAAATAACCCATGGTTGAATAAATTCCAGGTAAAAAAAACTTAAATCCTCTGTGAATACATACTTGTAGAATGTTTAGTACTGTTTTATGATATAAGTAACAATTTGTACTTATTTGTACTGAAACGAAGTAATTGTTGTTCTTACGTATTTCAATGTGACTGCATCATGTCTAATGGATAAAAACTCTTCAGTACCTAAAAATCATCACTTTCCTACATTGTATGCAATATTCCATTTAGAAATACGAACAACCAAAAAATTAAATCATAAGGTATATTTAGCTGACGAGTTCCAAATAGAATAAAAACGCTCCTTAGATTCCACCACTGGACAGACTGAGTCTATTCAATAAAACCATAAAACAAATTTGAGAGGAAAGTATAAATATTCACTAATTGTCCTACATAAAAATTTGATAGACATATCAAACCAACCGTGTGATGTTTCCTACATAAACTTGGAAAATTGCGTAATCTTACTTTCTTGAAATCTTAATTTTTTCACATTATGTCAACTTTTTTAACTTAATTAGATTGTGGTGGCCGATGTTTCACTAGCTTCGTGACGGTTGATATTCAACGTGTTCTAAGTCTTCTTAATTTGCTCGTCGAGACAATCCTTACTAAGCAGTGCCTGATGGTTTTAAATCAGAAGGTGAACACAAAGTGTTGAATACGTTTATTATTGACACACGACAAAATGGATCAGCAGACCACAAAAACACAGGGTAAACGTACTAGCCAGCGAGTTGGCGAATTGGTGAGTTGGCGGATGCATTAATACGATAAAAATGTTGGTATTCATTCATAGGGAAATGTCTGAATCATCGAGATATTTAAGAGATTAACATTAAAGCGCAAAGGATGAATATACGCTTAGGCGTAAGCAATATTCAGTCGTACCAGCGCTCAAACAAACCAGACATTGGGTCATATAAGTTGTTGCTATGCCAATGGTTTGGTTAAATAAGTTGATCAAAAGACTTAACCAAAATAAATATAAGCGAACTCAATATATATGTGAAGGTACCACAATATAATTCATCTAGTTGCAATGTAAACACCAACTGTTGTCATCTACTCTTTTTCTACTAACTTTTAGTGAACTATAATGTTGTCTATGATTTTCAGTAGTTTGAATATATAGAAGTAAAGTTGATTTTCTTTTTCAAATTGACCTTCAATTATTCATTATTTGTACCATTAAAAGAAATAATTGGTAAGAGATTTAGTTATTATTCTATTTTTAAGGCTTACTTCAATTATGCAACTTTGTCGAATAACGCATAACTATGGTAATCAGTATCATATCAAACTAACATAAGTACTACTCTTTTAAAATTTATTGAAATTAAATTAAAACTCCTACTTGACATGGAGTACTAATTAAAATAAATTTGGGATATTATAAATTATTCAGAAAAAATGTTTAAATACATATATATATATGTATATATATATATATATATATAGCTAACAGTTAACTTTGTAATTTTCATTTATTATAACTGCCCCCTCTTAGTATCCTATTTTCCAATGCTTTTGTTCCAAATCTGACTAAAAATAGGAAACTTATAACAAAATATCCATTGTTCAGTATGGTCAGAGTTAGTCTGAGTAAAAAAATGCATACCTTTTATACTACTACTACTACTACTACTACTACTACTACTACTACTACTACTACTACTACTACTACTACTACTACTACTACTACTACTACTACTACTACAAATAGTATAGTTGTCATAAATAATGGACACCTCAGAATGAGAATTTCAATAGACACTCATCCAAAATGTGCATACCGAAAATGAAAATGATTAACTGCGTAATTTTGTAAGTTGTATGAAAAACAAGTAACCCAATTATGTCCAATACACCTGCTCATTGATACAAACAGTTACTATGCGTAAGAAAATAGAATGCTCAAGTGTTTTGCAAGAGTAAGTTACCCTGGTAACGTTGTAGAAAGATGATCAATATTCATATGTTCTCATGAATGAATAACTTAGAAAGAAAATGAAAACAAATGATGTTTTAGATTATAATTTATGAAAGACTTTTGAATGATTCCAAAATGACCTTGTGAATATTCTACCGCTAACTAGGTTCAGAAGAGAGTTCAAACTATTTTGTAGAATCGGGCTAAGAATTTCGAGTTCGAAGTTAAAGTTTTCGTCATGGACCAGCATTGGTGGTAATGCTGAAATGCTAGTTTGCAGTATGGATGAATGAATTTCGCGCTAAAATCTAAGAGATTTCACATTATATCTGATCGGTTCGTTAGTATATTATAGTCGCTCTCAAATGAATTGCCCAGTATTCGTTTATTTCACAAGTGAAATACTTACTATGTGATCTGAAAGTACATCAAATCGAATGAGCTTAAGCGATAACTAACTACAACACTCACCTCTACTTGATTATCAACAATTTTCAGACATTTAATCGACGAAAAATACCAGATGATCAAACAGTTGCAAATTCACATTTGAACTGATACATGACATTGACAATTTTTTATCGTTTCTGTATAATATTCTGCACCAACTAAACGACAAGGCTTTGAATATGGAACAATCTAATGGTTCCTACTTTGATTCTTCTAGTCTGAATAGTTATTTTAAATAATTGACCTCCAGAATTTTCACAACAATAGTGCTACTTTGAAAGTCATCAATAGTTTAATAAGCAATTGGATAGAAACAAAACATTCCCCGAATTAAGCAGTTACTATGATTTATAATGGTCTAACGATGATTACACCAATTCAAACCTCTTGATATATTGGTTCGTTTTAAAAAGCTACAGTTCTTGAGTTAATTTGCCTTAAATAATTTTCAGTTTTCCTATATTGATTTCATCAGTAACGATAAACACATACTGAATGGTTAAATCAATATTGTTTAAGTGGGTCTATAAGTTGTTAATCCATGCAGATATTAAAAAGCTGATCATGTTCACATATATGTCTTGAAACGTTACACGTCATATCATGTAGTTTCTCACAATGTCTGTATCAGTTGCGCATAAAAAATACATATCACTTTTATGCAATAAATTGGCGCCAAACTTTCATTACCGTCATGTTCAATCGCTGTAACTGCTTTTATTTTTAACTACGTCAGTGTTATTTATATGTTTATCACTTGTCATAATTTCATATTTATGATTAAAAACAAATACCACTTAATAGTAATAATAATAATATTAATAATAATAATTTAACCTGTAAAATTATTGATACATTTTTTATTCTCCAACCATTTTGCTGTTTTTTTTCTATACACTCTTTTTCTGTCTGTTATTTGAATTATTTTCGCCATATTTTTTTTATAGAGAAAAAGTATTATATTACGTGAAAGTAAAAATATTAGACGATGGAAATATTTTTAGAATTCCGAATATAGAGAATGTTTATGGTTTCTGTAAAAACTTTTGTTCAATGTATATATACATAAATATATATGATTAAATACAGAAAAACAATATTTCTTTGATCAAATATTCCGTTCAATGCATCTTTTACTTATTTATTTCAATGAAGTTTACATTGTCTAGTTGTTATTATCATTGATTCTTTTGTCTAGATCTCCATTGGCATGTTTGTTATACGTCAGTATTAGAATAAATAAATAAATAAATCTATGTATTGACATAGAATTATAAAATATTCTTAACTTGTACATACTTAATAGATTGAAAGAAAATAATGTCAAGCGACGAATTCAGTTACTTGAGTCATTGAGATAAAGGTTTAATGTTTTTCATCGAAAGTACAAACTGTGCTCATTTGATTAGCATTGTAGTTTTGCGCATAAGGCATTAATAATGTATAACAAACATTGGGTAATATATAAAATACAATCTTAGACAATATTCATAGAAAGAACTTATTTACGTCGACATCTGTTACGTCATCAGTTAAATTACTATTTCTATATAATGGAAAAGCTAGTCAATGATATTTGACATTTTTCAGATATCATGGAACTAGTTTTGACGAGAATATTGATTCTCTATAACAGCGAATGACAGATGATTCTCTGACGACAGTACTCCAGTTAATAACCAGTAAGTGGATATCCACTGTATTCTTCTCAAAAATACTAACTAGTTTATGAATGGTTAGTTACTAGTGATACATGTTGACTTGGATTAAATTCTACAGTTGTTACCGTTTGTTCACGACATTCGAAACTGTACATCAGATTTCTGGCTGATTGAATATCCAAGAATGTGGTTATATACTATTCCTCATTATATTATAGTAAGAAATAAAATGAATACAATATTCTCATCATGGTTAGTAGTCATGGTTTCATATTCTAATAAAAGATGTATAATCATGCACAATGTTCATTAAAAACCATCGAACCACAGTACACTAATAAAAAATGTAAATAGGAATTTTAACTGCTAACTCTTTGAAATCGAATACAAAAAATATTCTGTCTGTATACAATTTATCATTTGGTTTTATTTCTTTGTTCTATAAATACAATTACTCTACTGAATCCAACACATTAATTCTATCATCTTGTATGCAAACAATACGGTAAAGGTAAAATAAACTCAGCTAGATGAATACCGCTTGAACTAATATATTAATGCGCAAAACATTCAACTATAAATCACTAATTATGTATGTACATAGTGAGGAAAACAGGTACGTACACCAAAACTCTTGATATAATAATAATATTAATAATGATAATATATTCTAAGGATAATAAATACAGCATTCATGTTGGTCTACAGACAGGGTCAGTTGGATATAGAAATAAATGTTTATTGTAGGGGATAGATATGTCATTCTTACATTTTTAGGTGTTTTTTATTTAGGAAATTGTCTAAGTAGTACATTTTTTAAATATCTAACAGTAGTGCAAGTCATCACTCAGGAATTATTCATTCTTTTTTACTGGATTTATATTTTAAGATACAGTCAGTCACAAGAATACAAAGTTTTAGTGTATCCTTGATGCTAAAACTACTAAGTATAAATTTACAATATTAAGGTAGAGATGGAACACTTTCTACATTAAAATACATGACTCAGAGTAATACAGGTTACTAATTAGGAAACCGAGAAGACGCGGGGACTTAGAGGTCTGTTTACATAATTTTTCTCGGAAGGACAATCTGTAGGAATAGATGAATCCTAAATAAACTACTGTTTGCAACTGGGATAATACTTCACCGTTCGTAGTCAGGTTTAGGCTGAGTAAAGTAATATCAGATCAAATTTATCCACATTTAGCAATGCTGAGCATCATGGTACTCCCTGGTTTAGCTCCATACTGAGGCAGTTTTGTATATTGTTCAGCTCATCATGACTAGAATTAATACAGTGCTTTAAGATCCTCAGCATATAGAAGACGCTTACCTACATGAAAGTGAACGGAAACATAAATATAAGGCAACGGAACCTTAGACACTACCTTGTATTATCCCACTTTTGACTGGTATAATATCCTATAAGAAGGAGTTTATTTTGAATATTTGGCGCCTGTAACTGAGGAAAGAATTAAACCAAGCACGTACAAGTTTTCTGATCCCGTAAGATGTGAGTTTGCCAATAAGAAGCTTATGGTTAACCATGTCGAAAGCTTTAGAAAAGTCAAAGTATACCACTAAGACTAGGTGACGTTGGTTATATTGAGGAAAGATTAAATTGGGAAACTAAAAGTGGTATGTCATACAGAATCGATTTTAAGAATGTTGAACATCAGTGAAAAGTTTTTCAGTGAGTAAATAGTTTGAAAGTTCATCAGTAACGGTTTTTTTTCATTCACCTTAGAGAAAACCAGAGTAATATTTATGCGCTGATAATTGTTCGTGTCAGTCTTATTTCCTGATCTGTAGCATAGTATTATGTATGGGTTTTTCCAAATTTTAAATTAAGTACCAGGCTCGAGAGAGAGATAGAAAGAGTGAACAGCTTCTGAAGAAGTATTAGTATATCAGACCCATCATATTTGAAGATAATAGAGAGAATCTCGTCTAATACATGACTGTTTGAAGCCTTAAGATAGTTAACAGCTTTACGTATTGCCAGATAAGTGAAGCACGTAGAATGTACTGAGGTGCTGGTTGTATAAATGACTTTTTAAAATACTTCTGAGAAGTTTTACAATGGTTTTGGAGTCGTTTATAAACGTTTCAGTATGCAAGATCTTCACTTTAAGTTATTTTCACATGTTTATTGAAAAGGAGCATCATGTTTTGCACCTTTGAGTTGCTATTAAATGCTACTAATTCCTCACTAACAATTTTTAACCTAACCTTTCCCTTGATTCGGTTAAAAATTATGGTTATTTGTAAAGTTATGTGACTTAAAATAGCGTTTCTGCAGGCTTCTTATCTTATCACGATATTAAACTGGTATAAATAATTCGTTAGGCTTACTAGTCCGATACTTTTTGAGAGGTACACAGGAATCTAAACATGAGTTAGTTATCTAATAGAACGAGTCAATTGCTTCCGCGAGACTGTTTCTAGATAGGAAGATATTGCAGTTAGTGGATCTTATCAGAATATGCAGCAGATCACAGTGAGCATATTTATAATCCTTATTTTTAACTAGTTTTTTTGTGTGGGATGGTTATATGTGGGACTAGTAGGGAGAGCATCAATTGGTAATTACTTTCAAATTAATTGCAAAGATAATGAAATGATATCTGAACAAAATATTAGATTTATTTTATGATTGTGTATTTATTTATAGTTGACAAAACAATTTACTAAAATATTTATTTATACTTGTAAGGAAACGAAATAACATAATTTGACAGGTATTATATTTAAAAAT